GTTTAGAAAACATGCAAATAGAAACGGATGAACGGGTCCCCCCCTTTGGAATGGGGGTCGTTTGGCTTCTTAGCCTGCAATGCCCCATACCTGTCTTTGTCTCTGAAAGGGGGGTCGTTAGAGGGAATTGTTGGCCTGGCCAAATAGGCTAGGTCTTCTGTTGCCTTTATGGGATTTGGGGTTGCATTGATGTTGGAAAGTAGTGATTGGTTAATGAGGCATTTTGACACACTGCCAAACTGTATTGATGCTGTCTCTCAGAATACTGACACCAGCTGGACATGTAAAGACACTACAGGCAGCTGATTGGACAGAATGAATTGAATTGACCTAGTACAATGAAGTTATTTGAGGTTATACTGTATTTCATATTCGTTTGAATTGAAAATGGCTTATATTTTCTAATGCAGCCAATAAATGTCAACATGTGTAAATGGGGGCAAAATGTGAATGAGGTTGCAATTTGAAATTAACTTCCCTGAATCGAAGAGTGATAACAGAGGAAAAGTTTGACACAACAATTAAGAACCACAATGGCTGAAATGTTCCTGTTCCATTTAGGCTGCTTCAGAATTGATTGCAATGAACCACAAGACTGGTAAAAATGATATAGTTTAGTGAGACGGTCACATGACTTTCTGGAAATGACACTTACATCGATGGTTTGTTCTAGGAGCTCGATGCATGCACTGTATCAGTGTTGCTGGATCCATCACTAGCAGGAAGAGTAACTCAATTGTTGCATTGTAGGTTTCTGGAATCAGAGTCCCCCCTCTGTTTAAGGTTAGTTTTTCTTATCATAGATGGCTTCCTTCACACACCTCTTAAAGCACCTGTATTTGTCCAAATTGTGAACATTCTAGTCCTCCAAATGTCCTTTGTCCATCAGGTGTAGATGTACCGCAGGCTCCACTAGAGGAGGGTGCTCTTCTGTGTTGGGCCATGCATGGTCTGTGGAGATGTTTGCCTCCAATATAAAGATCAGAGCATTCCTCTGAACTGCAGACACCACTCTGCTCATTTTAGGTCTGGGGGTTTGGTCTTTAGGATGCAATAGTCTCTGTTTAAAGGTCTGTCTGGTTTAAAATGTTCTGAGATTTTGTTTGGAGAAACTCCTGGAGTTTTTCAGAGCCCCCAGCAACATATGGGATGGAGATGTTTTTGCATTTAAACTTCTGTTATGTTCTGCTGCTTGTCTTTTGGATTTCCTTCCTGAGTTGACAAATGGCCAGTTTGGGTGTCCTGTGGATACCCAACTGTTTCCCTTCTGTTTTAGTAGGGACATGCTCAGCCTGCTGTTTCTGACATTTTGAATGGAAAGCTTCCTGGATGGGAAGCAAAACATCTTCAAACTTGTAACCAGACTGTATATTTAATGTTTGTCCTTCAGGACAAGAAGGCCATGTTGTCCTTCACCACTGGGTCTTTGGAGTCCATGTTCAGCCCAACTGGAATTAATGGAGACATGAATGTTACACTGTGGCCGCTGCAGGTATTATTCCTCACATTAACTCAACAGATCCCAGGAATTGAGGGGAAAACTCTTAACTCTGCGGTTCTCTGCAGAATGGCATCCTGCACTACTGTGGCTTCCAGGTTCTGGCTCCTCAGATCTTCTGGGCTCCCTCCTCTAGTGAAGTTGAAGCACGTAAAGCCATGCTGGAGGGCTGGCGCACTCGACTGCAGGGCCTGCTAGAGGAAAAGCCTCTGTCCGTCATCCCATTGGACTGCTTTGAGGAGACTGGTTTCCAGTTGAAGCCTGCCATCCACAAGGAACATGCCAGCAAAGAGTTTGGGTTGACGGTTGGGATCCATCTAAACAAGCCACTGCCCCCTCATAGCCAGATGAAGGCTGGCTGCTGAAATGTCTCTTATGATCAATAAAGTTGGTTGTTCTAAAGTTATAAGCCTTTTTCATGGTTTTTGATTCTACATTCCCTGTGAGACAAACGCCATCTAAGTGGGAGTTCAACTTTTAGTTGAATCTTTATGGTTCAGTGACTGACTTTGCAAATGTTGTGACTGAGGGTCATTTGACTTGGCTGACATTCTTTAAAACCAGGGTCTCCAACCATGGGCCTCAAAATCTACTCTAGTTCAGCTGAACTGGATTCCCTGCCATCAGACTTTATAATGAACCATTCAGTTGATCCAGCTTTGGAGCGGGGATGAGGATCCTGCTTTAATGATCCAACCTTAGACGATGTGTAAAATGTCTGATTTGAACTGTTCATCTAGACCAGAGATACTCAATTCCAGTCCTCAAGCTACCATCTTGTAGCTTTTGGCTGCATCTCTTAAACACAATTTGAAAGGCTCCATCCCCTCATTTAGGCCAGCAGAGGTGTGGAAACAAGCCACTTGTTTTCGGCTGTTAAAAATGGGGTGCATCAAAGTTGCAGGATAGTAGCTCTTGATCTAGAAGGTAAAGCTTCTGATCCAACTAAGTTTGCAACTGGATGGATTCAATTTCCTTCATTTCAGCACTAAACGGTTTCTCCCTTTCAGCAATAAGGAGGTCGTCATGGTACAAGGCATCCGCATCACGTGCCTTGGCTAGCGATGAAGTTAACATAGTTGTCGGATATAGATATAAAATGGGTAGAACATGCAGTCACACCGAATGCGCTTGCATGCAAAAGTCTATGGTTAACGTCCCTTAGATGGTCCTGCAGTGCAGCAAGCACAACGCAGCTACATCTGAGCCGTGTGAGCTTCTCAAGCGGCAGATGCTGGAGATGGAAAATTTTTTACTTTAGCTGCTCAACGTGCCACATCAACTGGATCAGCTGATCTCAGAGCTGGCAGGGAAATGGGCAGAGCGCTATGATCGCTCCTCTGAAACAGTTTAATGCCTAAATTAACTGAAAATGTAGAAAACTGCCCGCAGAATATGTTCGCTTTTGTGCTGGTGGTGCAATTTGTACCACATACCTGGAAAAACGCTAACATCTACTTCCAGCCGCCACCAACAGGAGGGGAAAACCCTGGAGAGGCTCCC